ATGGACCTCGTAGTTTTTAGAATCTGAACTCCCTAACTCGATCAATTCATCATACTTGTCCTTGTTGGATTTGCAGTCAGTAAGGTACTCACGGGCGTTCTGCAGCGTGCCATGGGCCAACAACAAGCTTGTATAAGTGCTATCCGGAACCAGGTCCGGTTGGAAGGCCAGCAGATACGCGCAGTACCCAGATAGCTTAGTGGCGATTCCATGATTCTTCATGAGCTCTTCTCTACTAGGATCATCCATGCTTGACAAATCCATGTTGTCGTAGTCGTAGTTGCATATGCTTGTGGCTATGTGCCATGTTAAGATGTAGCGAGCATATGTGTGGCCATGCATGCAGCTACGATGGAGGTCTAGGTCGATGGCACCCATCTCATAAAGCCACATTCTTCCATCCGTGATCTCGCCGTTGATGTCCTTGAGTTGGCGGAGAACGGCTTCCCTCACTTCTAGAGGAAAGCTGATGGAGCAAGTCATCAGTGATGCATCTAGGGCTTGGAGTGAGATCCATGATAGGAAGGACTTGACCCGGTGAGGATGGGTGTTGTCGAGGATGAAGTACTGGCTGATGTTGCCCTTCCAGTGCTTTGTGAATGTGAAATGGCATAGGACCTTGAGTGGGATATCCACCAACGTCCTGTGCCATGACTTATGCCGCACGTACCGGCACATCATCTTCACCTTGTGCCAATCCGAGAAGACGAACGCAAGGAATTGGTACGACTCAAGAAAGATGTACCACACGATGACCAAACAAGTGATGAGAAGATCAAGATTGAAGCCATGGATATAGATGTTTGCACCGCCTCCGGTACGCCGGTACTTGAGAAGATCAAAGCTGAATAGAGTAAATATGCTGGTTGTGAGGATCACAACATACACCGCCTCTGGTAGGCCGGTACTTGAGAAGATCAAAGCTGAATAGAGTAAATATGCTGGTTGTGAGGATCACAACATACATAATGAGATCTGGAGCTAGGGTGTCTTTGATTGACGGGTACCGAGCATAGAAGAAATCAAAGAGGAACTCTAGTTCCGCCTCGACTACCCGAAATGCTCTATCGAGATCGTTGTCATTGGAGAGGAGCCCAAAGTCTCGACACTTGTCACGCTGAAAGGGGAGGTTTACATTGCCGATGTGATCAGCTGCAAACCTTAGCCTGAGAAGACTGAAGAGTGCAAAGGACAGACAGAGGTCCCTCCGCCTCGATGCTCTCTTTTCTTCTTGTCCGTCCCTACCGCTAGATTGCAGCAACTTCCCTTTGCATTGCCAGATCGTGGAGACGTCCACCGTTTCCGGCACGCCATAAGCCACGTGTATGACTTCTTCCCCATTCCTCACCTCCTTCACTTCCTTGACATCAACAAGATAGATGTACTCCTCCATTTGTTTCTGGGTTGTAAGAACCACCTCGGAAGCCGGCACTGTTCAACGGCTCGTACTTCATGTAATCGAACACGACCTGGTTCTCCTTGACCAGACCACGCGACCGGCACGTTGACCGGTATGCCTTACCCCTCAGGCCTAGCCTTACAACGCTTAAGCTCCAGAGCAGAAACAAACTGATGAGGAAGTTGCTGCGGAGCTGACCTTTGTAGTAGAGTATGAGAAACAGCAGGTAGATGATGTGGAGGGCCTGGTTCATCATGGATCTCGTCTGCTGGCTGCTGTCTTTGAAGCTGAAAGCCGTCATGGTGTCGGCGCTGCCGAGGAGGAGGAGGAGGAAGCAGGCCCACACGACGAAGAGCTCGTTCTGGATTGACGACGACTGCATCAGGCCGATATGGTGTAGGAGATCACCGGGTAGTTGAACATGAAGGCGCCCCAGACGACGAGCCTGGCCAAGCCATGGCTCTCATGGCGTCGCCTCGAGTTGGACAGGACCAGGATGCCCACGAGGAGGCAACCCATGGTCACTAGGCCCTCGATCCTTGCCAGCTGCCCGGCGGAGCTTGAGGCGAATTCCTTTGCTGTCCGGGTCGCATTTCTCACATTGGCAATTTATTCCATGGAGAAGAAAGCAATAAGGAGACCGATCAGAACACCGATCTGGTCATGGAGATGAAGATGAAGCTCGTATAGTAGTTAATGGTTACGGCCTTATGGGACAAGAGGCTTCAAGCCTTAATAAAGGATGAGTGGACTTTACTCTATATTTTATTTTAAAAACGATATGATTAGACCTTGGACTACGCGGAACAACCGGGGAGTAAAGTAGGATTCAGCAATCGATGAAACTGACCATGTTAGGTCTGAGTCGTGATCCAATTTAAGCCTTCTCTGAACCTGTCTAGTCTAAGTCAATATGGATCACATGGGAGTAGTTACACAGAATGTGGCTCACATGCGAGTAGTTACGTTTATACACACATTTTTAGCACGTCAACCATGGATTTTTCACTGTCGGTGCAAGGCAAAAACGAGTACCTCTAGCATGGGTTCTGTGAAGTTGCTTTAGTTTACCACTAAATATGTTCTGATACTGCATGCTCTGAAGTTTTTTATGGTTTGTTTCTGAACATGATATGTTATCTTTAGTGTCTCAATAGTCTGTATGTGCTTAACTGTGCTTGATTCCATGAGCTCAGTGGAGTTCAAATGCTAGCATAATTGTAAAATCGTAAAATGTGAATGATTTTACCATCAGCACTTTTGTTGTGCTTTTTTTTTGAAACAGAAGCTTTTATTAAACCTAAGAGCAGTACACATCGAATTGATACACAGACTTTGGAACACTCCAAGCAGTAAATCGTAAATTGTGAATGATTTTACCAGCAGCACTTTTATTGTGCATGTCTACTGGAATTTTGTTTTTTACTTTGCCTGCCCTGTTTTTTTCTCCCTGAAATTGACCATGACCTGTCAGATTTTAGGATGCTTCTATGCTATTCATTTTATCGCTGTAAAATTGGGTGCTAATCATGTTACCATTGTCTTACTAGTCAAATTTGGTTTCTATGCAAATCATTGTCTTACTAGTCAAATTTGGTTTTGCAGGACACTTTTATAGGGCGTTTTCTGCAGGATGTTAATCAAGTTGCTAACAACTTAATGAGTAGATTTATAATCAACTTTTTTGCCAAAAAAAGGAAGTTGACGCAAAACATGCCCTTGAAAACTAGTACTTGCTTCTGTCAGATTTCATCTCAACAGGTTGAATGTTTGATTTGTCAAAGAACCAGTTGGTTCAATAGCATTCTACTCCAAACAGACTAGGTAGATAACAAATTCGACCATTCATTCGAACTAAGAAACAAGCAAATTTATGCAAAATCAATCAGCAAGCAGGTGAAACAACCACAAAGTTTTCATGATTCTGTTGCTCAATGGCAGGTTTGGTGTCTTTTTTCCCTCTCTGCTTGGTGTTTCTTCAGTAATCAGTATAACAGCTCAGAGGTCGCCAAATGGTTGCTCAGGTTTATCCTTTGTGTTTATGGTTGGGTCTCTTGGGAAACTATGATTAATCAGGGTAGGGTGGGAAAGATTAATTGCATGATCAGTTTCATAATTAATCAGGGTAGAGTAACTGAAATCAGATTAATTATGTAGTGTATCTATGTGCAGTTATCTCCCAATTTTCATTCTCCTACTATGATCCAGGAAGTGCCAGCTGAATATAGGAGATGTTCTAGTTGCTATACTAAAAGATTGTTGCTTTATCTTCACTAGTTCTTGTTGATGATGCATGAATGGTTGATGTGCTTTGTTCCTATGGTTCAGGAGCTAATTAAGCAGTAAGCACTGTGCACTGACAATGGATGTTGTTAACCTAATAGTTAAGTGGATGTGGACAAGTGTGTTTTGTTTTTCAATTTCTTTGCTGTAATTAGTATTCGAAACAGATTGTGTCTGCCTGCCTAAGATCTTATCCTATTTTTATTCAATACTTTAAATCATTAGTTATGAAATAATAAGTAATTCAAGTCATCGGAGTTTGTGTCTGTCAGAAGGAGAGTGCAAATCAAGTCCAGGAACAGTCTTTAATTAGTTCAAGTTTGTGCTTCAGAAATTAACAATATCTTGTGCACGGGACTGAAGAATGCAAATCACATGATATTATCCATGCCATCTAATTCTTACTAGTTTACAAGTTGTGCACTTCAGCAAATTCTGTTATGCTTACCTGTGCATCTTCCTGCTGTCTAAACTGGATTGGTCGTTGTTGGGTGTTACTGTACCTAGGCTATGACTGTCTGAATTCACGCTCCATTTATTTGTTTTTAGAGAAAAAAAATGTAGGGATTCTCATGCTTGTACATACGAGTAGTAACGATTGTAATGTAAACAAGAAAATCAGTGCGAGAAAAGTGATTTTTTTTCTTGCATATACTTGGTCCATTGGTGAAAGGCTCTAATATATGAATGTGGAAGCTGCTACACAGGATACAGGATACAATCACATGCAGACAACACAGGGAAAATGATTTTCATGTATTTGTGCTCAATATTAATTGATTTTCAAATTGGAGATTATAACAAATTTGTGCCCATCAAATTAAAATGGAAAGTTGGTTTCCATGAATGTCTTGTAGCAAATTTCTCCTGGTTATAAATTCCATAAATTCAGATACCAAATTTGGGCCGATCAAATGGAAAGTCAGTTTTCCATATCAAATCTAGGACCATCATTTCCAGAGACTATAAAAGGTTTTAGAGTTTTCCTAATCGTTGGTGAGTGAAGAATAATAAAAAAATCTTAACCCATGGCGAGCAATCTAATCCGCATAGGATTACACCCACACTGAAGACTATTGGAATATTGTCATTCGATTAAAATTTATGAACAGTGACTTTTATGTGGTAGATCATATATAAAAGTTTTGACCAATGCCATATTCAAAAGTTCCTCTTAATATAAATAATTGTACATTTGTACACATAAGATTATGGCGTTCATCTAGGTATACCGAGGGAGCACATAATTCTCTCCTTTTTGTTCGTGGTCATGTTTTCACTTCCAGTACTGAGCATATATGTACATAGATTTATAGCATTACCAGGGAAGTTGGTAGCTGGATGCCTGCATCAATGGATGAGCAAAGTATGCGCCCAAGGTTAATATTGTGATTGCTACATATGGTAACCGAAAGAACTCCTTGTGATAATCTTTGGGCAGTTTCTGCCGTCCATCAAGAATCGCAGCAAAGGGCACAACACTTGTTCTCTTCTTCAGGACTTCAAAGGCTTCACCATAGCGTGACACCAGCCTCCTGTCACCATTCCAAGCACCAAAGAGATGGTGGCTGATAAGTCCGACAGAGGCTGCAACGGCAACTGAGTTGCCAATCCATAGTGTATGAGCAAGGCACCAAATTACCTGCCCAACCATCTACAGGATAATTGTGGGTCAGAAGTCTGTAAGTGGTCATAAGAAACATCAATGCAATCATAGAGAACGCATCTACGTATTTTATAGAACTAATGACCTGTGGATGTCTGGTGATACGCATTATTCCTGTTTCCCACATATGTAATTTAGGCTTGTCCACAGCTGCCACTTCCAAAAGATTGAAAGTAGATGGATACAGAAAGAAGAATGAAATGAACGATGAGATCCAAACAAGTTCATGAATGCCAGTGATTCCCTGAACTTGCCATAATTGAATACCATCATACCGATGATTTATGAAGTATACCTGAAAAGATATGGAAACTGTATAAGGTACAGTAAGATTTATTAACCATTGAGATCTATCTGTCTATAGGAAAAGAATGCTAAGCACTCACAATAGTAGTAACTACTAAAGGCAGTGAAATTCCAGCGAATAGCACACGGTAAGCACGCTCCCCTACTATTTTCTCACCACTTTCCCGTAGGCTTGCCATACCACTATGAACTACAGCAAATATTATGGTAAGGAGCAACATAACGACCTGCAAGAGAATCGCACATGGTTAAAATGTTTATCTATTATATATCATACAATCTGCCAATGTAACAAGTAGGGCAAACAAATTAATATAACACCATATAATATGTAAATCAATTTTGTATACAATTGAGAAAACAGTGAAGCAAAAGGTAATGATAAAACAAAAGATAGGTGAAAAACAAATGGAGAAATACAAAATAAAAAATAGCACTTCAAGTATATAAGTCCCCAAATGTTTTGAATATAACTATATTTGTACCTCAACATTTTCCAGATCCAGACTTGATACTAATTTTTCTTGTTCAGATTAAATTTATCATTGCTGTTTCAGTGTTTGTTCATCATTTGGAACAAAACCACAGAAACAATTGTTGAAATCCCAATATTCATTGTGAAGTTAGTTAGGTTCTATGTATACACGTTCCAGTACTCATGTGGTATTTTTTAAAAAGGAAAACTGCTCTTGTTAGTTCCTCTGCTTTCTTGCAAGAATTTAACATGCCAAGGACCATAAACCTCGTATTTATCCAAGTCATGTATATATCTTCCTACCCAAAAAAATAACCAACGACCTGATGACCCAATGGGTAAAGGCAATCTATGGTCAAATGGATATGGCGAGGGCATACACTGAACCACCTGCCTAGCGCCTAGAGCTTTCTAAAACACATAGTAGTAGGTAGGAGACTAAAACCATAAAACAAAATTTATATATCTAGAGCTTGTGGATTCCCAGCTCTCATAAGATATCCACGTACAACGTTATTCCATTAAGGATAGCCATCCAATCCGTGAAATACGCGATATGATGCTGTTCAATGAAGGTTGGTTTGGGTTTCTGCCCACTTCATCCACACCCGAGACTGGTCCTTGTTCCCTACACCTAGAGCGCTGAGCTAGCCAAGCAGCAAATGAATCGGCGCTGCCACAACCTCCTCCAGCTGCAACCTACACCCTGCCCACATGCTGCCAGCTGCTGCTTTCCTCCATGTCCACATCCTTCCCCTAGTGCTTCCTCAGTCATGGTCCCATGGCGACAGAGTGTGAGCCTGAGACAGAATCAAAGGTCACGACAACAGTGGTGCTGCAGCAGTGCAGCTTGCTGCGATGAGCGGGAATGATAGCTTTCCATGGTGACACCATAACTGATGAAGGAAGGAGTAATAAAGTGGCTAGCCCAGCCCATGTACCCATCCCCTGGTGTTATCTACATCTACAGTTCCCACGGTTACCTTGTTAGCCAGTTGAAGCGCCGCTGCCACCTGAAACTTCTCCCAGCCGCTTCTCTTCCCTTTCCTCACTGCTCTGCGCCCGCATATCAACTACTGCTGCCGTCCCCTTCCAGATTGACTGTGCCATGGCTGACCGGACCATGTTCTGCACTGGCCACCGGCGCTGGAGCAGGGGAGATGGCAGCAGCTGCAGGTTCTTGGCCTTGCTGGCCCGCTCTCCTCCCATTCTTCCTCTGTTCACCCTCCCTCTCTTTTGCTGACTTCTGCTCATGGTGATGGGGACACCAAGATTTCCATGGCACCTTTTCGCCTAGGTGACGCCTTGAAAACCATGCACTATAGTGACTACAACTTTATATTACTCCTCTACTCTTTCATGTTAGTTATTTTAATGGCTAAATGTGCATTTTTCTGTTGCTGACAGGCTGCTAAACAACACCATTGCTATTCAGAAGGACCTATATTATTTACTCAGCCATGAAGAATTGAGATGGAGAATTGGACACATACACGGATATACCAATACAGCAATATCACTCAGTGCCACAGAATAGTAAGAGAGGAAAGAATATGAATGCCTGGCACATTTTATCTTTCAAATTTGAAACTACAGCAATAACAGCAAAAAGGGTATTTAATTCCTTAGACACTTGAGACAGGATTGTGCAACAATTGCCATTCAGAATTGCACTACCTCAGGTACTGCAAGAAACTTATGTTGTGATATGTTGTTCTGACCTTAAATGCTGATCGAGCAACATCCCTCTGCTACAATATCTATCTGGACAAAGTTAACCCAGGACTACACATCATATTTCATACAATATATCGCTTCGCGCATTCAAAAATTACTTTCTAATCTCGTGGGACGGTGACTGGCCACTAGGCGCGCGCAGTTTTTCTATAGAAATCCGAAAGCCCCGTAAACAAAGAGTGCGCACCTCGTGGCTGTCGGAGACGGAGGCGACAGCGTCGAGGAATTTGGTCCCGACTCCGGTACCGGGGTCGATCCACAGCACGTTGAGCGCAACGAGCACCGCGGCTAGTATCCCGGCGAAGTAAGCCCACGACGCCACGCTCTGGTCCTTGAGTTCGAACGCAGCCGAATCCTCCCCCACGAGCAGGGGCTCCCCTCCGGACTCCTTCCCCTCCGCGACAACACCTTCCTTCGGCTCGATGCCTCCCCCGACCGCCCGGGCGGGACGAGCGTGGGAGAGAACGCGTGGGACTGGGAGAGGGAGGAGCCGCGCTCGGATTGGGTTTAGGGTGGGGCAGAGCGGCCGCGGGAGGTGGCGGAGGTGCGGAAGGACGAGAGGTGGTGTGGCCGCAAGGTGGAGGCGGAGCTGGGAGGCCATGGCGTGGACCGCGGAGAGCGTGTGCGTGTACGGGTGGAACTGGAGTGGTGGAGTGGAGCGGCGGTGGCGAGGGCGGTAGTGGAAGGTGAAATGGGGCGGCGACGAGGTCACAGCCTCAGTCACAGAGACGATGGCGGCATCTTTGGGGAGGGTGGGCGGAGGATGCGGTGCGCGTCGGATTGGAGCGTGGTGCGCCGGGCACCGGTTAGCGCCAAAGTCAGGTGAGGGTACGTTTGTTTGAGCATTAGTTTTATAATTTTTATTTATTTAGCTTAAAAAAACAGAAAAGCTTCTATCAGTGTGCTTTCTAACTTTTAGTTTACTACTAGAAACAATATCCCACGCGCTTACTGTAGGGATCGTGAATGAATTTTAATGGATGACGTGGCTTGGTAAAATAAATAGGAGATAATTCCATGTGAGACATTATAAAAGATACAACTTCCATATTAACCACCGGAAAAGTTCATCGAATGAATTTTAACGGATGATGGCTCGGCGAAATAGATAGGAGACAATTCCCTGTAAGACATTATAAAGATGCAACTTCCATATTAACCACTGAAAAATTTCATTTTCCATCTCAACCATCACTTTGATTTTTTTTACCACTACATGCCACTACCGTCAAATTTTGGGGTAACGACAACTAACAGGAGCTTGAAATGTCCCTTTTGCCCCTCTTACACGGGTAACAACATCAAACCCTGTTAGCTGCCCATTACCCCGAAAGTTGACAATAGTGGCATGTAGGGGGCAAAAAAACCGAAGTGATGGTTGAGATGGAAGATGAACTTTCTTTGATGGTTAACGTGGGAGTTGCATCTTTTATAATGTCTCACAGTGGATAGCTTGTATAAATAGATATGTATCATAAGGACATGTGCTATTGGTATGTTGATATGGATGGCTTGCATGTTGAGATATAGTTCTAGTGGGGTTCAGGATTATAAGAGATAGATTTTTTGAGAAGACAATTTTCTAGACTTTCAAAAGACAGCTTAATAGCTAGGCTATTTGTTTCATCTTTTGGCTTCTGGTTGAGAATAATAGTCCTTTTGGATGTGAAGTGTCGGTGTTTTGAGTAAGCACCAACGAGTAAATTTGTATTATTACGCGTCTAGCTTGGATGGTGTGCTAAGAGGACACGGGATTTATACTGGTTCGGGCTGAATGTCCCTATGTCCAGTTTGTTGCTACAGCTCGTGTTACTTAGCACGAAAAAGTTCGTAGTAGGGGTTACAAACGGATGAGAGAGGAACTGGTCCCAAGTCTCAAGTCTCTGGTGGTGTGTTGTTTGTGATAAGGTGTAGTGAACCGATGTTGTGTGATGCACTTGTTCGATGTCCCTTAATGGGACGCCCTGATTCCCTTTTATAGCCCAAGGAAAAACATGGGTTACAAACGAAGGGAAGAGGGGAAAGAAAGAGAAAAACAGGCTCGGACGTGTGCCTTTCTCCTCTTCGCGCGAGTTCCGCTGACCCTATAGATCGTGGTAGCAGCGCGTCGTACGGGGGTCATGTTGGCCACTGCAGCATGCGTCCGGCCATCATGCGTCGTTCTTGTCTTCCATCCCATCTGAGCGGACGAAATGGTTAAAGAGTCCCCTGACAGGGGCCATGCGGGGGGTAGTGGTACAGTGCTAGTCAACTGACACCGGTCGACTGACATTGAACGGTGGTCAGGCAGGGAGTTGGCAGCACAGTGACCACACGTCCGTCACTATGGCGCGATGTGAGTTCCCCGTAATGATATGTCGTGGGACGGGTCGTGCTGAGATATGACTGCTCCTTGCACGATGTTAGAAGTTTGACCTTGAGTAGTACTTTCTGGCCCACAGTGGTTGGCAGTGACGTGAGCTTCCGTTAGGAACCGTGCCTGAGGGATCGCACGAGGCAGAGCCAGTCCTCAGACGTTAGCCGAGGCGGAGCCAACCTCGGGGGTCGGCCGAGATCGGAGCCGACCTCGGGGGTCAGCCGAGGCGGAGCCTACCCTCGGACATCGGACGAGGCGGAGCCGGCCCTCAGACGTCGAGCGAGGCAGAGCCAACCCTCGGGGGTCGGACGAGATGGAGCCAACCCTTAGAAGTTAGCCAAGGTGGTGCCAACCCTTGGGGGTCGGGCAAGGCGGAGCCGGCCCTCAGACGTCGGGCGAGGTGGAGCCAACCCTCGAGGGTCGGACGAGACGGAGCCAACCCTTAGAAGTTAGCCGAGGTGGTGCCAACCCTCGGGGGTTGGGCGAGGCAGAGCCCGTGGCCTCAGTGTCCATCGAGGCAGAGCCAACCCTTGGGGGCCGGACGAGGCAGAGCCCATGGCCTCGGTGGTCAGACGAGGCAGAGCCCAGCAGGAGGTGTAGTTGCACTCTTGACCGCTTGAATGAATCAATGTTGATGGTTATTAGCTTCTCCTCTTCGGGTACCCTAGGATTGATCCCTGACAGTAGCCCCCGAGCCCCCGGGTGATTCGGGTAGAATCACCTGGGAGTTTTTTCGACTTGCCGGTGGGTGCGCGCGAGCGCACCCAGTGGGTGTAGCCCCCGAGCCTACGGAGGAGTATAATACTCCTTCGGAGGTTTTTCGAAAGGGAGGACTCTAAGGGTCCTGGCCTTCTTTTGTAGCCCACGGCATGTCCTAGGAACAGTGATTCCTTCTTGCCGAGGTTGGACCCTTCGCGTGTATGGCCGTGAGATTTGGTGGTTCATTAGCTGGATAGTTCGATTGGGGTCCTGGCATCCCGTTTTGTGGGGATCTGGCTAGGGTCAGCTTGGCTAAGACTCGATCATGGGCCGAGATGCCCATGGCGCTCGTGTGCCTGGGTACTGGCCGCTTACGGGGCTCATCCCTTTCCATCCCTTATCGTAAGGGTGCCTGGAGCGGCTATCGAACCCGTTGGTGGGCCAACCGTCAAACCCCTGGGCCCAGACGGGCCGTAGAGGTGTTTTTTGATTCGTATTCCTCTTATTCGCAACGAGTCGTGGCCCGCCTAGGGAGGCAAAACGTTCGGCGAGTCTTTCGAGAGAAAGGATAGGGATTGCGTGCGCATATCCCGTGGCGTGACATTATAGCAGATCATGGTAGACACGGAGATCTAGGAGGACGGTTGGTTTCTTCGCATTCGTTGCCCCTATAAAACCAAAGGGTTCGCCCCCAGGGTTTCATAGTTTGCCTTCTTGCCTTCGCATTTGCAACCTCCACCGCCAATAGCCTAGGCTTCCTTCATCTGCGTCCCAGCCACCGTCGAGCTCGCAACCACCCGCCCTCATCTTCCAATGGATTCGTGGTGCTGCTCTGACATCACCTTCTAGCGCATGGATGTAACACCCTAGGTGTTAAACTTGCATAATTTGACTTGCATTGCATGAGCATGAGCATCAAGCATTCATATTTAAGCCTTTACATTTGAAACATATGAATGAAACATGCCTTATTATTTCATGTTTTCTTTGTGTATGCTTATGATCATGAGTGAATAGGTGTAAGTAGTTGATGTTAGTCACTAAAACATCTTAGCTACACTTAGGATGACTAGTGGAACAAGGTTCATGAAGATCACTTTGCATGATTAAGCTCTGAAGTGATACTATGCATGTTAATCTAGGAAGTGAAATGTGTAACCAATGCATGAAATGTTTGTGTGACCTTATGAATAGCTCAAACATGTTTAGAATGTCATTATGAAAACTTTGGTATTCATAGCTAGGGCTAATTTGGTCACCAAGTCATAGTTTAAGTGTAAGCCATCATTTGAATGTAGCATGTTTGACCTAGTTTGAACTATGTGATAGAGACTTTGCATGGATGTGGTCAGTAAAGCAAAGTTGTAGTATTTGATGAGAGGAACAACTTTTATTTTTGGGTCATAAACTAGTTCAGCTCCTAACATGCTTGAAATTAGCTCACAAGAATCAAAGTTTCACTGTTTTTCAACACTTACAATTTTGCTAAGTCATTTCGAGTTAACCGTTTGACAGGCTCAACTTGGTGATGATTTTACTCACTAACCGTTGAGATTTGGACTTTGGTTTCTTAAGATATTTTGTAGCTAGTACTTAGGGCTACAAGTTCTGTTCAGGTTGTTTGCACTAACAAGCTACGGATTAGGATATTTAATTGCTTGAAATCACACTATCAGGCTTTTGATCGTGCCCTGAAGAACACCACGCCGCGCCGGTTCGTGGCCGACCGGCCACAGAGCATGGCCGCCGCCATGTGGCCAACGCTGGCCGAAGACAGGCCCTCGGCACCGCACACTGGCGCTTGTTATCTGCACGCCCCGCGCCTCATTTCCACGCACCTCGAGCTCACTCACTCACTCTCAGCTGCTCGCCTTTCCTCTCGCCACGGAAAAGCACAGCACCGTCGAGCACCGCACCAGCTCCGCCGTCACCTCATGCACGCTCCACCGCACCGCTGCTGCCTACGTCTAGCCCACAGCTGCGCCACGTCCCCCTCCACCTCCTCGATGTGATTGCAGCATCGTAAGAGCTTCGGTGAGGGCGTATTCGCCATTTTCTTCCTCGCTAGAGATCTTGGCCGCCATGGCCGCCTCCATGGTGAGCTCGCCGCCGCACTGCTCGCTTGAGCTTTTCCTTTGATTACTTGCATCAGGGCTTGGTTAGGATGTGTGTTAGCTTGTGTCATGATGTTACTATGATTCGTTGCTCCGCCAGTGCAGAATACGGCGACCCGTGCCACCGCGCTCGCACCTCCGCGCCACCGCGCACGTGGCTAGAGCTCATCGGAGCACCTCGCGCCACCTAGGTCACCTAGATAGATCCACATGGTCACTGTTATGCTGGTGCGCTCCTCGCATGGCCCCACCATGGCCTTCCATGGCCGACGCACCGCAGAGCCGCGCCGCCGTGCTGCCATGGCCGGCGATGAGCACGCTTCTGTGCATGTGCGCATCCACTACCTAGGTCACCCGATGCGCCTTGATGTGTAGAGCACGATGTTGGGGTTGGGTTGGCCGAAGAGCTCACCGGCGACGAGGTAGGGCCGG